AAAAAAAAGAAATATGAGTCTTCCTGCGTCATTCTTCTTTTTCAATATTGCTTTAGCTATTCAGGACCTCTTGCTATTCCATATGAAATTGAGGACTGAGTTTTCTATTTATATAAAGAAGATCGGTAGGCATTTTTATCAGTATTACCTTGAATATGTAGATCACTTTGGGTAGTATTGACATCTTTATAATAATTTTGCCAATCAATGAACATGGGACATCTGTCTCTTTATGTTTAGTCTTCTTTAATCTCTTTCAGCACTTTTTATAGTTGTCATTGAATAAGTCCTTCACATCCCTGGCTAAATTTATTCTTGGGTATCTTATTCTCTTAGATGTTATTGTAAGTGGAATTCATTCACTAATTTCTCTCCTCATTGTTGTGTAGAAACTCAGGTGATTTTTGTTTATTGACCGTGTACCCTGCAACTTTGCTAAAGACTTCTGTTAGCTCTGCAAGTTCCCTTATTGTGCCGGAATGAGATCAATTAACCCACGTGCTACTCTAATCAAAGTTAGTAAGTCTTGATTAGCCTTAGGGATTAGCCTTAGGGATGCTAGAGCCTAATTTTCCCCAAATCCAGAGTAATTAAAGTAGGAGGTTTTTTATACTAGGGAGAAAACAAGACAGAGGGGTAGGGTGCTGTTGAATAGTATAGAGAAAAGGGGAACTTGGGTACAATGTATGGAGAAAAAGGGGAACTAGGAGCAGAGGTTTAGACACCTATCAGCAATTTCAAAAATAAATGACACAGTTCAGAGGTTACAGAAAACAGCAGTTACAAGAGGAATTACAGGATTTGCAAATTTGCCATACTTGGGTCAGAACAAAAAGGGCTATACTCAAGCTAATTTAATACAATATGGTTACATTGATAAATTGGCTACATCTAAGTTGATTACTACATCATAGTTACCCTGGGGTTAATTGTGGTGGGTCACCACACCCTTGCAGACTCTTTCGGGCTCCCTGTCCTTTCGATCAAAGAGAGAGCTGGCATTGAGTTGCATCTCCTGAGGTCAGGGGACATGGTTTTCCGTGTTATGCTGGCTTGTTGGGCGACTGCTTTGGTAACGTTGGAGTCCCTCACAGGCTAGCACCAGAGCAGAAGGAGGGAGGCCAAGGGAAGTCGGCAGTTCTCTAAGGTCTTTCAGCAAGTGGGAGGTAGAGCCCCAAAGCTGAGCCCTCACACTGCTGTTGGGGGGCAGGAAAGAACTCACTTGTCTGAGTCACCTGGGAGGGCAGCCACATGGGTGTAGGTACAAAGCACATTCTTTGAGCCAGGCTCCTGGGTTTGTGCCTTCCGTTGTGTGACCCTGGGCAAGTTGCTTAAACCTCAGTTTTTCCATTTGCAAGATGCAATGGATGGTAGTCCTGCCTGCCCTGCCCTGCCTACTGCCATAATGACTGAGTGCAGGGGTGCTGGGGAAACTCCTGTAGGGGTGCAGGTGAAGCACCTGCAGCAAGACCGGCACCCTGTCCACCTTCGATAAAGAACAGGACCATCATCTTTATGTGGCAAGAGCTTGACTTCTGACCATGCTGTGCATTTTCTTTCCTTCCAGCTCTTCACTCAGATCTTTGGCGTTGGGGTGAAGACTGCTGACCGGTGGTACCGGGAAGGGCTGCGGACCTTGGATGACCTCCTTAAGAAGAACCAGAAACTGACCCAGCAGCAGAAAGCAGGTGAGCTGTCTGTGAGGGGCTGAGCTCTGGGCGTCTCCAAGAGCAATCCACATTTCCTACGTGTCAGTGCAGAAGATCTTGAAAGCTTCCCATACAGTAGAGTCTTCTGCACGGACACAGGACCAGGAGCAGAGAAGCTGGGGAGCAGACAACCCAAGAAAAAGGTCCTGGGTCTCCACCCTGCCTTCTTATTTCATGATGGTGACTTTTTGTGGGCTCCCACTGAGTTTCGGGGTGGGCTTCTTACTTCTGACTCCAAGGCTGTCTTGGCATACACCCATGATGGGGAGATACACCTAAGTGGACTAGGCAAGCCTAGTGTGCCATGGGCCTGACCCAAGGTTTCAGCCCATGCCAAGAAAGAGGTTGGGAAGGGAGTGGTGGCCTATGGGGATGGTGAAGTGCTTTCTATTGGGAGGCGATACCGTGTAATTGGAAGAACATTAGCTTTAGTTCTCAGGCCTGGGTTTGAGTCCTGTCTCTGCCACCCAGTCTACAGGTGATAGGGCCTCATTGGTGCTGTGGTGGGTTATGCCGCTGTCTTGAACCCACAGGGCAGCTCTAGTCTGCCTTATAGGGTCACTGTAAATCAGAATTGACTCAGTGACAGTGAGTGAGAAACTTGTTGCAAGAGTCCTGGTGGTGTAGAGGGTTACATGCTGGGCTGCTAACCACAAGTTCAGTAGTTCAAAACCACCAGACACTCCATGGGAGAAAGATGAGGCTTTCTGTTCCTGTAAAGATTTAGTTTTGGAAACTCACAGGGGCGCTGTGATTTGTCCCTGTGAGTCAGAATGGACCCCGTGGCAGTGCCTGTTCTTTTGTCTGTAAAAGGAGGAAACTACTGATGGGATTCTGTAGGCTTTTCTGGGAACACCTGATCCATGGTTGGATTCCTCCGTGGAGGTGTGCCAGGTTGCTTGACTCACAATGGGTGGGGAGCTCTGTCTCAAGAGTGGCCCATGCTGAGGAGGTGCCTGTGGCCAAGCTCTCTGCATCTTTGAACAGCTTCCCTGGGGTGGGGAGGGTAGACGGTTCTTATTATTGTTTCAAAAGCCATTCCTGGAGGCTTTGGTGGGGGGGGGAAGCCACTAACAGGTCTTAGAAGGGCCACCTGGTTTAGCCAACAGGAACTGAGAGCCCTGCCCAATGGCATGTGAAGTGTGTAGTTTCCCCTGGCTCCACCCTCCCCACAAATAAAGTGAAAGTAGCCAGTAGGCCTTTTTTAGCGGGTGCTTTGAGTGTGGCCTCCTGATTCCTCACTTGGACACCCCAGCTGTGTGTGGAGGGCTTTTTACAGTTTCGATTAGGCAAGTAAGGAGGCTGAGAGACCTAGGTTTAAGAGACCTAGGTTCAAGCAAGGTGTGACTGAGTTGTTAAGTGTTAATAAGGTGTTAAAAATGGAAAAGTGTCGGAGGGAGGGGGAAGAAATGGGTAGCTATATCAGGGGATCAAGTGGAAAGAGAATACTTAGAAAATGATGATAGCGGCTTATGTGCAAATGTGCTTGACACACTGGATGAATGTATGGATTGTGATAAGTGATGTAAGAGCCCCCAATAAAAGTATGAAAAAAATCGAAGAGTGTATTAGAACTTAAATTTTTAGCACCCTGGTTTGCGAAAGGCTGTATGGATGGCAGTGTCAGCCTAAATTCCATTTACTAAGTAAAACAAACTCACGGCCATCCAATCGATGCCAACTCACAGTGACCCTATAAGACAGGGTAGCACTGCCCCCGTGAGTTTCTGATCCAGTAACTGTAAGGTGAACTTCGGGCCTAGCAGATTGCAGCCCAACACATAACCACTATGCCACCAGGGCTCCTGAAAATCCATGTGCAGGATCCCAAATAGACTAAGCCTCCATTGAATTCTTTCTGATCATTCACCAATGGGGGTAGATCAATTTGCCCTTAGGCAAATTAGCCCCTTGGAAAGTGCATTAACTCCACCCGTCTCCAGACAGCCCAGGAAGGACAGTCTCTCTGACTGAATATCAGGTGGAGGTCAGTGTCCTGGGGACAGTCCAGGGGGTCACAAAGTCTTGGTCGGAAGGCATAAGCCCTTCTATCTATGTAGTATGCGTGTCCCACTCATGGTTTCATTCCTGCCTCTGTTGTAGTCCCACCTATAACTGATCTATTGATCTGTCACCAATCATGAATTTGTGACAGTTTCCTTGTGATCCATGCCTCATTTAGGCCATTGTGGATGCCACTTTGACCTCATGCTAATGACCTCCCTCATCCAGATGATGTGTTTGTGACTTTGTGTTGTCTTTGTCTCTTAAGACTTACTAAGTGTCCTCCATAAATTACATTTGAAACAGGGTCTCTGTTGTACCCTAAACCAGGGCTGTCAAACTGGCAGCCCATGGGCCACATGCAGCCCCCGAGGTAATTTTTTGTGGCCCATGATGCTCTGAAATAAAATGAAAGAAGAAAAAATTGTTATGAAGAAAATCGCGCCTATACCATACACACAATTCCCTCGTTAACCCTTTAACTACTGAAGACGCGTCTACACGTGGCCCAGTGCCTTTCCTGGGTGCCTGTGGACTTGTATAAACGCGCTGACTCAGTTCTAGCGATGTTTAGAAGCAATGTGTCTGCCACTGTCAGTGTCACGTCATGTAAACAGATCCCAATAGTGAAAAGGTTAAAAAGAGCACTCTGGGTTGTGCTGTGATGAATCATAACAAGCGGCAGCGCGAGTTAACATTGTTAGAGGGAAGCCATTAAGATTGTGCATCACGTTTGTCTGCTGTCCAACATTTTTTGTTTTTTATTAGTTTGTTATATTTTCTGGTCACAACATAAGAGGTAAGTGAAAACTAGTAGGAGGAAAACGCTGGCAAGTTTCGGGTAAAAAAGAATAAGTTTAGTTTATAAATACATTAAATAAAATAAATGTTTAAATAAAAGCAAGTATATAGTGTTTTAGTTATTGTATCCATATTCCTGAATCCTCACTTCAAAATATAAATTTAACAAAATTTGTAAATGTGATGTAGCCCACATGAATCTTGCCTGTTGCACCAAATAGCCCGCGTTTTCATTGAGTTTGAACCCCCTGCCCTAAACCAAGAGTCATATTCTTAACCACATCTCTCCCTACCATGCCCCATCCTATCCCATTTTCCAGATAGGAAAACCTAGGTGTTAAAAGAAAGAGGGTATACCTTGACTGTGCTGATGTAGGTGTCCTGGTATGTTGGTGCACCCCAGTTCTGTTAAGTGTTACCCCGGGGTGGGGGTGGGGCTAACCTGGCCAAAGGATACACAGCTTCTCTGGGTCATTTTTATAATTTCAGGTGAATCTACAATGATCCAAAAGCAAGGGTGAGAAGATAGTGTCATACCTAGATTCTAATCTGGTCCCTGGTCCCTGCCTTTGACCCCTGCTCAGGGGCTTCTTCGCAGCCCTGTGGAGCCCTGGGGTTAGTGGCTGTGTTGGGGAAGATGGGGTTCCAGCGGGTAAAGAGGCCTGGACTCAGCAGAGGTGGGTGCTCCCAGGGCTCCAGCACCACCAAGACCTGAGCATCCCAGTGCAGCGGCAGGAAGCGGAGGCTCTGCAGCGGGTGGTGGAGGCCATCGTGGTGCAGACCCTGCCTGGTGCCACCGTCACACTGACCGGCGGCTTCCGGAGGTAAGGCGGCCATTGCCCAGCACAGATCCCAATGGGCCCTTCTTGGCTCTGCTCAGATCTCCTCAGGGCCGTGGGCTGGGGCCACTGCGGTCACTGAAAGGCGCGGGGTTCTATGGTGGGCTGCATTCCCGGCTCAGGGCCACAGAGGCAGCTTTGTCTCCTTCAGGGGGAAGTTGCAGGGTCACGACGTGGACCTGCTCATCACTCATCCCCAGGAGGGCCAGGAGGCGGGACTGCTGCCCAGAGTGGTGGGCTGCCTGAAGAACCAGGTGAAGGGCGGAGGGGTCAGGAGTGGCCGGGCAGTGCCCTAGCTGCTAACTCTCCCAGCGCCATTGGCTGGTTGCCTGTCTTGCATGCCTGTCACTGCAGGGTCTTATCCTGTACCACCTGCACCAGCACAACCACTATGGGGACATTACCCACCTGGCACTACAAAACTCAACCATGGATTCCTTTGAGAGGAGTTTCTGCATTGTCCGCCTGCTGCAGCCCCCCGGGATCACTAGGGGAGCGGCCCAGAGGCCCTGGAAGGCTGTGAGGGTAGACCTCGTAGTCACTCCCATCAGCCAGTTCCCCTTTGCCCTGCTTGGCTGGACTGGCTCCAAGGTAAAGCCTTGTGTTATGGAGTGGGCCTGGGGGAGGAACGGTGGGGGGTGGGGCGGCAGTGGTCCCATGAGCCTCTTGTCTCCTCAGCACTTTGAACGGGACCTGCGCTGGTTCAGCAAGAAAGAGAAGGGGCTGTGGTTAAACAGTCATGCCCTCTTCGACCCAAAGCAGGTATGCTGGGGCTTGGGAGCCGGGGACGGGCCATCCTCACAGTATGCTCCCTGGCACAGGGGAACAACACAACCCCAGGCCACAGACAAACCTGAATCTGGTCCCAGCCCTCATGGTGGTGGCAGCTCACCTCAGCCTGCCCTCACAGGATCCCCAGGGTCTCTCTGTGAAGGCAGCCCTGGGCGCCCCAGGTGCCTGCCATGGGGAAGGCCCTGGGTTGCAGGGTACTCAGAGCCTGGCTCCTACCCTCTCCTCTCCTCTCACTGCAGGAAACGTTTTTCCACCTGACTTCAGAAGAGGAGATATTCAGACAGCTGGGCTTGGAGTACATTCCCCCTGAGCAGAGAAATGCCTGATCGTGCCCACCAGCACCTCCCCTACCACCAAGCCCTTGTATGGGGGCATCTCAGGAAGCCAGACCCCACGTGCCCCTTGGCGGTTAAAGATATGCTACTGTCCCTGTGTCGCCACAGGGTTCTTAGCGTCCTGGAGCGAGGCACCACTTGTCCAGCCCAGCCCAGGCCTGGAGGCTGTGTTTCTGTTGAGCAGATGAAAGTATTCCCTCATTAAAGGCTTAAAGCACTGTGTTTTCTGACCATGGCGCTGTGTAGGATGTGATTGGGACGGTGGGATGCGGCTCTGCATGTTAGTGCTATTGATTCACTGCCCGCCGATCAGCTGTCCCTGGACCACAGGAAGGAGCACTGTGCTACTCCTAGGTTCAAGCCAGATGGGCACCCTTGGGTGAGCACTGAGCCCTCTGTGCTCAGGCTCCTCACCTGTAAGGTGACTCTGAAGGGTGCTCACTTCATGGAATCTGCGAGCCTAAGACTGAATGTGTGTGGCTCAGTTCGGTGCCTGCCCAGGCCTCACTGGAGGCTGATGGTGATTATGATGACCACTGCAGGACATTGAACCAACAGGCCTTTCCATGAACTTTTGGAAGCCCCCTCGTATGGTCTCTGGAGTTTGGGGGTAGAATTATGTAGGATGCACATGTCCCCTCTTTCAACTCTGAGGTAGGATTATGTGGAACATGTATGTCCTTGTAACCTCTGAACTGCCTTCTAGCTACCTTGACAGGTGCATACAAACTTAGGGTACCTGACAATGTGGTATTCATATGAACTTAGAATCATCACAAGAAGCTTTGCAATATACGTACAAGGAGTATTGCCCAGGGGCGGCTTTGCAAAATCACACCTTCAGGTTGCATGACCTCATTCAAAAATAACTGTCTGAAGAGTTATTTTTGGCATACACCTAGTTCTAATATTTCAGTTATACATGTTCCCCCCCAACCCCCTGCTCCCTTGATTGGCTGTATGTACTTTTGATGGGAAAGCAGCTGCTTAATAAACTCCAGAGGGATAGAGGCGGACACTAAGTCCTGTGAGTTATGAAAGAGTTAAGCAGGTTGGATCATGTCATTCAAATCCTATCTCACTTAATAAAAACCTAAGGCCTCAACATGGTCCTCTCTGACCACTTCATGTCCTATACTCTTCCTCCGTCTGGCCACACTGGCTGCTCTTATGACCCTGTTAGACCTATTCCTGCCTCACTGCTTGATGTGCCCCTGCCTGGAATGTTCTTCCCCAAATAGCTACAGGGCCAGCCCCTCTCATTGATGTCATTAACCAAATATCTCAAAAGTACCAAGGTGGGCTAGCTCCCAGGTTTCCCTAAAAACTAACCAAATATCTCATGGAGTAACTTGGGTTCAAACTTCCAACCTCATGGTTAGCAGCCTACCATGCAACCCACTAGGCCACCAGGGCACCTCTGTTGCTATTGTTGTTAGGTGCTACCGAGTCTGTTCCAACTCACAGTGACCCTCTGTGTACAGCAAACCAAACACAGCCCAGTCCTGCACCATCCTCCAAATTGTTATGTTGCAGCCACTGTGTCACCCCCATCTTGTTGAGCGTCTCCCTCTTTTTCACTGCCCCTCCCCCAAACATGATTCTTTCCAGCGACTGGTCTGTCTTGATAACTTGTCCAAAGTACATGAGACAAAATCTCGCCATCTTTGCCTCTAAGGAACATTTTTACTGTATTCCTTCCAAGACATGATTGTTTGTTCATGATCCTTTCAGTATTTTTCGCCAGCACCGTAATTCAAAGGCATCAACTCTCCTTTGGTCTTCCTTATTCAGTGTCCAACTTCCACATGCATAGGAAGTGATTGAAAACACCAATCAGGTCAGGTCAGGTGCACTTTCGTTCTCAAAGTAACATCCGAACTCTTTGCACTTTAAATAGGGCTTGTGCAGGAGATTGACCCAAGGCAAGGTGCCGTTGATCACCACTGCTGCTTCCGTGAGCCTTGATTGTGGATCCAAGCAGGACAAACTCCTTGACAACGTCAATATTCATTTCTCCTGATGTTACCTACTGGTCCAGGTGGGAGGATTGTGTTCTCTTCTTTACACTGAGTTGTCATCCACACAGAAGACTGAAATCCCCGATCTTCATCAGCAAGTGCTTCATGTCTTTCTCACTGTCAGCACGCAGGATTGCATCACTGCTGGCTCATCAGCCTTCTTCCAACCCTGATGCCCCACTCTTCTTCACGTCATGGCAGCTTCTCTGATGATTTGCTCAGCAGACACATTGAATAAGTATAGCGAGGGAATACAGCCACGGGACATTCTTTGCCTGAATTCCCTTTTTCTGTGCACAGAACTGCCTCTGATCCATGTATAGGTTCCACGTGAAGACAACGAAGTGTTCTGGAGTTCCAGTCTTCTCAAGTTTGTTGTGATCCACACAGTCAAACGCGTCTACACAGTCAGCTGAACACAAGTATACATATTTTTGGTATTCTGGACTTTCAGAAAAAATCCACTGCTATCAGCAGGGATACCCTTGTTCCACATCCTCTTCTGAACTCCTGGAAGCTCCCTGTCAATGTAGTGCTGCAGCCGTTGTCGGATGGTCTGGAGCAAAACATTATTTGCATGTGATATCAGTGATTCTGTTCTATAATTTGAGCTTTCTGTTGGATCACCTTTCACTGAAATGGCTACAAATATGGATCTCTTCCAGTCAGTTGGCCAACTCAGTCTCTTCCAAATTTCTTGGCATAGATAACTGAGTACTTCCAGAGTTTCATCAGCTTGTTCAGACATTTCAATGGGTAGTCCAGCAATTTCTAGAGCCCTGTTGTTGGAATGCTTTCAGTGCAGCTTGAAGTCCTTCCTTCCGCACCATTGGTCCTTGTTCACGTGCCACCTCCTGAAATGGTGGGGTGTCAGTTAGTTCCTTTTAGTGGTCTTCCTACATCATTCAATATTCTGCCCAGAGAATCTTTCAATCTTGCAACCCGGGGCTTGATTTTCCCTTTGGTACTTTGAGTTTAAGATAGGCCGACTGTATGGTTCTACTTTGATGTTCTAGCTGTAGGGCTGTAGACATTTCATTCTAATTTTTAACTTTGTTTTCTGGAGCTGCTCTTTGAAATTTTCTGTTCAGCTCTTTGATTTCATCATTTCTTCTATTTGCCTTACCTCCTCTATGAGTAAGAGAAAGTGTCAGCGTCTCTTCTGACATCCACTTTGATATTTTCTTTCTTTCCTGTCTTTTTAATGACCCTTTGCTTTCCTCGTGAATGGTGTTCTTGATGTCATTACACAGGTCTTCTGTCATTTGGTGTTCTCCAAATTCAAGTGGGATATACTTAAGGACACATTTTGGCTTTCCTGGACTTTTTAATTTTTCCTTTAGCTTTAACCTGAACTAATATATGAGTAATTGATGGTCTGTCCACAGCTGGTCCCTGGCCTCATTTTAGCTTGGCTAGCTTCTCCATCGTCTCTTCCCACAAATGTAGTCAATTTGATTTCTGGAGAGCCCCTTTAGAGAAGTTCACGTGTCCAGTCAGTTTGTGTTGGTATTTGCGATGAAGTCATTGGCCACATTTTGTCATGTGCTCTCCAGGTTTGTTTCTGTCACCAGGTCCACATTTCCAAACTGCTCCTTACGTCTCCGTTTCCCACTTTTGCATTCTGATCGCATCAATGCATCCTGAGTGCATGGTTGATCAATTTCAGTCTAAAGACGGTAGTCACTAGCTTGGTGTATACATTTGAACAATAATTGTATTGGCTGGATTTCCTTGTCAGTGGACAGAGCTTGAAGTGCCCTTTTTGACGATGAATGTGAAGCCATTCCTCTGGAATCTGTCATTGCCGGCACAGGAAAGTATATGCTTTTCTGATTCAAGATGGCTAATACCAGTCCATTTTAGCTCACTAACCCCTGGATTATCGATCTGTATCTGCTCCATTTTACTTTTTGATGGCTTCCAACTTTCCTAGAAACTGGGAAGTTCCAAGTTCCAATCATTAACAGATGTTTGCAGCTAATTCTTTTCCTGTTGAGTCATCCCCATCAGCAAAGGGAGGTCCCGAAGGCTTTACTCCGGTCGGCTTCCCTCGATCCGTGGTCGCCTCCACTTTGAGAAGCAGCTCTTCCGCAATGGTATTGTGAGTGCCTTCCAACCTGAGAGACTCCTGGCTCCCTCTCTCACTGTGTTCTGCTCCGGTTCATGAGGTTTCAGGATCTGACAGTGGTTCAGTGCTGTCCCGAAGGTATCCAGCGACCAATTCCTCCGAAATGCACAGCCCATTCATTCATCGTGGCCTGTCCTTAGTCTGGGAGCTTTGATGAAGCCTGTTCATTTGGAGGACCTGCTTGCATTGGAAATACCAGTGACATCGCTTCTAGTTTCTCTCGAAAAACTCAAGCTCACTGACGCGTGTCGCGCCAATGTTGACTCATAAATGAATGCCCCATGAACACGGGGTAGGACTGGCCCTGTGAGTTTGCAAGACTATAACTCTTGACAGGAGCAGAAAGTCTCCATGTCTACGGTGGCGTTGGCTACTGGTTTCAAACCTTTCAAGCTTTCCCTCAATTGGTCTATTTCTTAAGAATGGAAAATGACCAAAAGCGAGACTAAGAGACGGAATGAACAAGTCATGCCCGGGGCATACGTACATAAACTGAACTCTCGCCACGGCGTACAGCAACCAGCCTGGGAACCTGGAAAGCAGTCATTCCTGTATCAATCAATGGGTCCATTAGGGCCAGGATTTGATTAGTAACTGATACTTTCCTGGTATTTTTTTGGCCCAGTTTCCAACTTGAAACCAGAGAATGCCAAATCTACTTCCCTAATCAATATTATAAAATGTTCTGCTTCTAGTTCATTTCTCTCCAACTTTCCCCACACAAATATCCTCCAATCAGGGCAGACATGAAGCTTGCCTTTTGTCCCATGACAAAGCTACTCCACTCTCCTACTGACCTTAAAATAGCTGTAAATGCAAGTGATGGCGACTCACTTCTTTGCAGTTGCAGCCTCTGAATTGCTCTCATTTGAATGATCTTTGCCTATTTCCATAAGCCCTGGGCTCCCCACAACCCATTTCTACAGAGCAGCAGCAATTGTATATAAATGTAGCCACACATAATCAGTTAACTATGCTTTGAACTCCCCAGTGGTACCCACTTCTCTTGAGTTCTGCCTGACCCTGCACATCATGCTTACACCTCTTCCCTGCCTCCTTGCTCTTCGCAGGGGGCCTTT